GCCCCGGCGCTGCCCCAGCCCGTGCTCGGGTCCAGTGCCCTACGCAGGAGACCTCGGCTGTCGCGAGTCCCGCCCGTACCACCTGGACGCCGAGGCCCCCAGCTGTGGCGCAGCCGGTTATAACCAGTGTGGAGAGATTGGCGCCAGCTATGGACCTGGGGACGTGTTCCCAGAGCCGCGGGGTCTGGGCGGTTACGGGGACTACGCGGGCGCCTGCGTTGGGGTGAAAGGCGGGGCCGGGGCTGGAGCAAAGGGCGCCTACTTTTAAAGGGAGCGGGGCTGGAACACCCCTGCATCCCGCCCCGAGGATGCAGCTCCCCCTTTCCCAGCAGCCACGCTTTCTGGGTTCTTGTCCGCATCTCTCCAGAGACACTCAGAGGCCCCCCGTTGCAGGGGTGATGTCCACACTCCTTCGCATGGGATCACAGGACCCACGCCTGGGTCTCAGACACCTCTCCAGCCTCGCTCCCAACTCCTCCCCTGTCCACACCCCCAGTTCTAGCCAGACCAGTCTGGCCACCAGGGCACATCCGGGTGTTCCCCAGGACATACCTTAGATGTCCCTGTCCCCAAGCCTCTGTTCGTCCCCCATCCCTCATCCCCGCCCGGTTCCTGGACCACTTGGCTGCTGCTCCCCGGCTTCTGAACCCGAACCCGTCTTCCCAGACTTCCTCCTTGGAGCCTCTTCTGCTTGCTCCTACCCCCAGAAGCCTGCACTGAGGTCCTCAACCTCATGCATCGTCCACACCACCCACCCGCAACTGCCTTGCAACGTCTCTTGAATTCTTTTGCTTTCAGGCGTGTCTGTCTGACCTGACCGACTAGGTTGCAAACTCCCATTTGAGAGGAGTCAGAACATCCCTCAGGTCCCGTGCTTCTCCTGGGGCAGGCAGCCGCCCTGCAAGGCCTGTGGGTTGGCGGCTTCAGCCACGATCTGTCCCCACCGAGGACAAGAGGAGGCCATGTGACAATAAAGACGGGGCCACACTCGAGCTTGAGTCCTGCGTGCTGCCTGTTTGTGACTCTCCTTCTTGACTCTCTGGGACCGGCTTTTGTTTTTCTCATTTTCTTCCTGGGTTTGCTGTACCCGGGGCTGATCTTCTGTTCGGCTGGACCAAGGCGGGCGGCCTCGCGGGTTTACTGACTCCCTTCATGTCCTCTGAGCCTCCCGGGAAAGGATGGCCGAAAAGACGCGAGGATGAGGGAACAGGGACGCTCACCCCTGCTCCTCGATCGCGCGGTGGAGGTCTTTAGGCTTGGGCTGGGCAGGTCACCCAGCTCCGGGCCGTAGTCACAGCCCCGCAGCCTCTGTGGGGTGGGGGTGGGGAGGAGGGAGCCCCAGCAGGCTATGAGCTACTCCGCCCAGGATGCGCTGTTCTTGCTTTCAGAATAAACTATTTGCGTACCTGTCCTTTTTCTTCTTCTTTTTGACAAAATAGAAAAGGGGGTAACTGAGTCTGATTCTGCACCCCCCTCGCTCCCAAACCCTGTTAGGCACGACTGGTCTCGGCAGCACGAAGGTGGGGCTCGGAGGTGACGGGGGTGCTGGCTGGGGACCGCGTGTCCCAGAGGAGAGCCCCTCCCCAGAGCAGGGAGCCTGAGGCTCCCCAGGGTCTCTAGGGGCTGAAGGGGCGCCTGTTCAGGGGACAAGCTCTGCGCTGGGCCCTGGGGGTTTGGTCCGGGGCCCCAGAGGGCCCCACAACTCCAGCACTGGAGCTAGAAGCTCTGCGCTGGGCCCTGGGGGTTTGGTCCGGGGCCCCGGAGGGCCCCACAACTCCAGCACCGGAGCTAGAGGCACCAGCCGCCCAGGGCCCAGCTCTAAATGTGTCTCTCCTGTGCCCCGGGGGTCTCGAGCTGCTGCCTCAGTGCACCGCCCGTCAAACCCTGCCACGGGCAAAGGAAAACTGAGGCTGTTTATGCGAAACCCACTCATTCATTCATTCTGGACAGATAATCCCTGCTCACTTGCTAGGAAGACCCCGGAAAAGGGACAGACAGAGCCCCTGCTCTCAGAGGGCTTGAGCCTAGCAGGTTGGAGGTCAGGGGGTGCTGAACCCCACGTGGAGGTGAGGGGTACTGAGTCCCATGCAGTCAAAAATCTGCATACAACTTTTGACTCCCCCAAAACGTAACTGCTAGTAGCCTACGGCCTTACAGATAACATAAACAGTCCATTAACACATATTTTGTATGTTTTTTGTATTATATCCTGCATTCTTAAGATGAAATCAGTTAGAGAAAAAATGTTATTAAAAAAATCCTAAAAGACAACATATTTACAGTATTTATTGAAAAAAAATCCACGTTTAAGTGGACCTGCGCAGTTTAAAGCCATGTTCTTCAAGGGTCAACTGCATAAATAAATAAATGCGCACACGCACACGCACGCACGCACACGCGCACGCGCACACGCATGCACATACACACAACGGGCCACCACGCACGCGTTATTGTCTTGCCGTTTTGCAGTTAGAAACCTAAGCCCGCGGGATACTCGTGACTTGCCCGAGCCACACGGCCAGCCAGACTCGACTGTGAGCGCACACGCTACTGCACGTGGCACCCTTCATCTTGTCACGGTCCCTGCCCCTTCCAGATCTCTCCAGCATCGACCCAGCCACTCTCCAACAGCCCTGGCGGTCTCCCACGTGGGGGATAGGTTATTTCCACCAGGCCCACGCTGGCCTCCTCTCTGAGAATCCAGGCTGCTCTGGGACAGCGTCTGCTCTGTGACTCACGCCCCCGGGGGCCTGGCAGGGGCCTGGCTCCTGCAGGGTGTTCCTAGGCATGGGGCAGGCAGAATGGCGAGAGGATTGGGAGCCCCAGATAAGGGATCCTCATTAGATCCCTCCTCTTTTCTTTCAAACACGCCCCTGGACAAGGACCCCCTTGTCTGGAGTGTGAGTGGGGAGCAGGCCACCCCATCGAGGTGCGGAAGAAACACAGTAGCTGCTAGGCAAGTAAGGCATTTACACCTAAGAAGCCGCTCCACCCCTAAGGGCGGGAAGCAGGTCACCACACAGGCTCTGATCCCACGAACTGCACTGTCCTCCGGGGATCGGCTCTGGCCCCCAGGATAACGAGGCCTGGACAGGGGAAGGGGTGTGATGGGGGAGAGTACAGGGCCTCTGGGTGAGCTGGCCTCGAACGTCGCCAGTTCCTCTGACAGGACGCCCGGCCTTGCACCTCCCGGAAGCCCCGCAGTGCGACGTCGCAAGCCGTCTGCAGCGTCTCGGAGGACAGGGACGGCCAGGGGCGTGTGTGTCTGCACGTCCTCCACGGCTTCGCGTGTGTCCCGTGTCCGTGATTTCTGACTGTGTGCTTTGACAGCTCGGGGGTCACAAAGCGTTGGGCAGCGAGGATCGTGACCTCGGGAACACGGTTTGGGACACCTCGGAGTCCCTCAGCATTGGCTGCGGGTGACCCTTCCCAGCCACCCCTTCCTCACCCACCCTCCACCCTTCCACCGATGACTGGTTCCAGTTCTCTGTTTTCTCCTTCTACGTCAATCCAACCATTTCAATAAAAATTAAAGGGACCCAGGACTAGGGCTGAGGACTCAAACTTCAGATAAAAAAAAAAAAGGCCGTTCATGATTCCTCTTTGTGGCAGGCGCGAAGCTTGGGCGAAATTACCTAAGTGCCCATTTCAAGACACGGATCCCCAGGGTCCAGCCCAGACCTACTTAATGTGAATTTCCAGAGAGAGAGAGAGAGAGAGAGGAGAGAGAGAGAGAGAGAGAGAGAGAGAGAGGTCTGGAACCTCCTCTCTAACATTATTCTGATCAGCTGGAGGAGGAAACCATTGCTATGCGGAATTCCCAGCGCATGAGCTCGGTCAAGATCTCTACCTGTCGCAAGGGCCACAGCACGGGTAGGACATGACGGCAAGATGCAGCTGACTGCTGACTGTTTTTGTGGCAGGTCTGATGTAACTGCCCACGTGCGGAGTCAAACTTCCTTGTCTTTAGTCTGCAGGCGCCTCAAGGCCCAAGGGTCTCCTTCCTCTTCTCGGTTAAATCCCCAGCTCTGCAGCCAGAACAGGGCTCTTGCGTGTGACTGAGGGACAGGGCTGGTCTGGTATATGGTGCAGGTGTTTTTCCGGGGAGGTGGGAGGCCCGGTGTGGGATATCGCGCTCCTTTGTCGTTACCCAAACGTTAAGAGAGAGCAAGTCAACGTCCCGTAGTTCATCCTACAGACCAGGGTAGTCCCGGATGAGCCAGAAAACAGAACTGTCACGCATAAGGGAGTAGGTCAGCTGTTTATAATGCACTAGGCAGGTGCTAGGTAGGTGCCAGGTAGATGCCAGATAGGCGCTAGGTAGATGCTAGGTGGGTAGACAGCAGTCACCAGACGGTGGCGCTGCGCATGTGGACACTTTGTTGACGTATAGGACAAGAGCCAGGCAGTGACCGAGACTTCCAACAAGACGGGCACACCCCTGACTTCCGGTGTGGTTAGACACCCCGGAGGAGCCACATGCCTTGGCCCGAACCTAGTCAGGAAGGCAGGTGAAGTGTGATGACCAATAGGTCTCCCCATCACCAGAATTCATTCCTCCAAAAATGAAGCTTCCTGATCTGGACGCGTAAACGAGAAATCTCTAGAAGTCTAGGAATAACCCGAGGTGTGCCAAAGCCACCCGCCCCGCCGCTCACCACATCTCGTCACAGGAGCCCTGAGCTGGGCTTGCATCTTCCCACCAGTGTCACAGGAGGAAAAGCACCTACCAACTTGCATCGACACATCCACTCGTCTGTGTGCCGGGACCGGTGGCGAGCGCGGCGGACCCTGCTCGCTACACGGAGCGCAAGAGACGACGGCTTGTGAGAGCCCCACGCGGCTCGCCGGGCACGGCTCCACGGAAGCCCGCACAAGGGACGGGTATTTCCTCCCTCCTTGACCACCCTTCCTGATTCCACACACCTGTCTGGCCCCAGGACCCCATCCTTACCCTGTCCTAACGAACTCTGATCAGCATTTCAGAGGAAGACGTGCTAGAAACTGCACTAACTTTCAGGCGATTTCTTACAAAGGAGACTTGAAGCGCAGACGTCTGCTTCGATGTGGGTTAGAACGACGGACCTAATCTGCCGAAATAGGCCGACCGTGATTAAGGTGCACATGACGTTCTGCATCTCAGTTCAAGGTCCGCAGCCCTTGCAGACAGAGAGAGCGCAGGTGATTAATAGGGCCCAGAGTGGGATTGTCTGTGGCAAACGGTGGTGACCTCCTGGTCTTCGTAGGCACGATGGTGCTGCCCGGCCC